ACAAAATTCACAGATGAGATTGCCATGTGAATATGAGGAGAAGAATAAAAAGACATCCAACTTGAACCAGTTTAACTACCTACAATTTCCATGATATATTTAACCTTGGGTTAGTTTGTGGCCCTTTCTCTGCTACACTATGGAGCAGTTTCTCAGAGGATTAAGCCTAGTCCTGACCGCATGGCATCTCAGTCTGGGAAACCTCCCCTAAATGTCTGAAAGCTTGTAGAAACCTGCTCCTCTAGTGTTGGGACATTGCTGTGAGGATTAGATTGCATTCAGTCACAAGAGCATTAGTGAGGTCAGGTAATGATATTGGATGATTAGTGCTGGATCACCCCAACTCATCCCAGAGGTACTGGGTGGAGCTGCAACACTCTGGAGAACGCAGTTCCACTGCTTCACATTGGCACGGGCATCGGCTTAAGTGGTACCTGGATACCTTTGGACAATTTATCCCCTCAAAAAATAGTACTTTTTTATGCAGAATTTTCTTATATCCCATTCATGTGTTCTTTCTTTCAGCCTGCCAGTCAGCCATCCATTCATTTTTTTTTTCACACTTTTTCTATTCCATTTTCTTAGAACCACATGTAGGAGATTCTTTTTTTCTATTTCCCTCCATTCCTTCTTCCTTTTGTGTTCCTGTTATTCCTTCATTCTCACTTTCCTCTCTCTCAGAGTCCTTCACTGTCTCTATCTATTCAGAATTTTCTCACTCATTCATTCTTTCTTTCATCTAGTTGGTCATTCATCTTCTCTTTCACTCTCTCTCTCCTGCTTCCTTTTCCTCCTCATGCTTTCAACGCTCAGCTCATTTCTAGACACAACAAACAGATTGTGTTTGCTGAAAACATGGTGAAAGTCAGAAGGGAGGGAAATTGTACTCCAGCTAATGTGTTTGTTTAGGCTCAGTTGCCAGATACAGACGTTGCCCACTGCAGTGGAGCTTAGTTGTGGCTTAATGTTCAAACACCTAGTGCTGCTTTATGGGTTTATACTAGTGGCGTAGACAGAGTTTCATTCTGGGGGCTCGTAAGCAGCAGCTAGCGAGCATTATATGCCTGAGGCTTTACTACAATCACCAAATAAATAATAGCCTCTTTAGAATATTACTCTTAATTACAATAATCAGACAGTAAAAATATTTTCAAGGGCCCATACCATTCAAACCGCAGTATGTGGAAATTAAAGGGGAATTCCACCAATTTTTTCTAAATTTCTAACTAGTTAAATTGTTAAGATGTAAACAGTCATTCACAGTGGTTTGGTGTTAAATGCTCTGTTTTGGAGAAACATACCAAGTCAGAATTATTCACAGTGGTGGTGATAGGAACCAGAAGCCTCAAGCATCATATGCCTCCAAAACCCACAGCAAAGAAGTGGCTATAAATATGCTGCTTCATGCCTGAGACATTGTTTTATAGCAGTTTTAGGATTGATTTTGGCTTAAAACATACTTTTTTAAATTCATTCTTGGCAAAGAGATGCATGCAGGGCATTGTAAGGCAAAATAGTAGCATAAAAACCTATTTATTTCAGATTTAGCACTATTTTACTATTGTCAGCATTATATTTAAACTTAGAAGGCATGTGTAGGGTCACTGGTTGTTTTGGACAGTAAATAAAATAGCTATATTTGTGTTGTAGACATCATGACCCCTGGTTCCCATCACCACCACTGTAAAGAGTCCCTCTACAACGAACCGTTTCACATTAAATCACTGCAAATGACTTTGTTTCAGTGATGGTTTGAAACAAAGTCATGAATACTAAATACTTCAGTACTGCTCAACAGTTAATTAAACTATATTCCTTCAGTTTCTCAGACCCTGACTTGATCTAAGCCGACACTGAAAAAAGTAATGCAGTGAACTGACTTGATTCAAATGTGTACATTATTTCCTCATGAAGACATTATATTACATGACCACAGTTTTGTATTTGCATTACTTTTTCAGCATACAGAGGCTTTTTCAATCACAAAGCATCATTGACACTACGATTCAGTCCAGGCTCATTTCATGTCTTAGAAATCAACTCATTATAGTTTGTTTATGTGTTTAATCATATTTCTGTCACTTATGAATTCCACTGTCTTGGGGCTTTGCAGCCATTTTCTCAGCAGTTTTTCAGATGAAAATGTCAGGCCAAATTTATGAGCTCGGTCGTTTTCATAAGCCTGTCTTTTCATGTCATTTTCTCCATATTACAGACCCCTGCAATTGTGCACCAGCAATTTAAAGGAAGGCTCAAAAATAAGCCTAAATAACACTTTCAGCTTAAAAAGGAAGTGGGTCAGTGCATGGCGGCAGTTCATTCATGCATTATTTCATTTTACCGTTTTTGCTGTTCTAATTTTCATTTTTGAGGTGAAACTTTCAGTTAATTGTCCCTTAATTGTCAAATTTGATTGTCAATCAAACAGACACACAAACAGCTGTGAAGGCATTCTTAGCTGTGTTGCAGGTTACTTCTATTTAGCGATTATTTTTTGTCATCAGTTCTTTATACAAAAACATTTGTGTGCTATATAGCATGATATCCTCATGCTAAACCTTAGTGTTGTGTTTTATGTGTTTTTGCAGTTGGGAATCCTCAGAAATCAGTGATTTTCCACACATTAGAGATACAGTGAAGCCCATTAATATTTGGATGAGGACAAAGCATATGGATATGAGCTCAAAGTGCAGAAAAAAAGGAATGAAACCTATCAGAAAGATAGCAAAAACATTCAGTTGGACAAATCAGAAGATATTATCTCTGGTGAAGAAAACCACTTCACAACAGTTGGCCAGATCAAGAACACCCTCAAAGAGGTAGGCATATTTGTTAAAGTCAGCATTCAAGACAAGAAGAGTAAACACAGAAGGTTTAAACCACTGGAAAAACTGAAAACATGGAAGACTAGATTAAAGTTTGCCAAAAACATGCCTAAAAAAGCCTATAAAGTTCTGGAACAACATCTTATCAACTTGTTCCAGAATAATGGGAAGAGTATGGATAAGAGAAGGAACTGCTCATAATCCAAAGTACGTCAATCATGGTGGAGGTAGTGTCTTGTCATGTCATTTTCTCCATTTTACAGACTCATGCAATTGTGCACCAGCAATATAAAGCAAGGCTCAAAAATAAGCCTAAATAATACTTTTAGCTTGGAAAGGAAGTGGGTCAGCACTACCTCCACCATGACCATCAATCATGGTGGAGGTAGTGTTAGGTGTGTGTTATGGAACTCATTCTCTTGTATTCATTGATAATGTGACTGCTGACAAAAACAGTAGGATGAATTCTGAAGTGTATACATATATACATCATTATCTTTTTGACATCCAAATATTAGTTAACTTAATAATGGCTGTGTGTTAGTCATTATATGAAATAATACATTTCAAAGCAATACTGGAGCTTTATTAGTAGGATTTTTGCTATACTTCAGTTCTGTTACAGGCAGCTCTACTTATTCTGAGGTAAACACAGCCAAAACAGTTGGTTGTTGCTATTTGGGTTTGCATGTGAAACTTTTCAAAACCTTCAGTAGCCGTGCACTGTTTAAGTAAATACTACATTTTCGGTGAGGCAAATTTTGAGGAAAGTGTTCATTGTGGTGAATTCTGTTAAAAAAAATGTAATTTATCTTGCAAAATTTTACTCACAAAAATGTACACTGCTAACTGGTTTTACCATCTTTTTCACAATAATGGTCAAATGTTTAGGTCTTTGTCTGTTCTCTAATCCACTAACAACTTCTAAGGTAAACGATTCTCAGAAGATGGCGGCTCCATCCTCCTGAGATGTCTGAGATTTGATGGTTATATTATCAGGGATCCCAAAGTGCAGGCAGTGTTTGCAGTGCGAAATGACATGCAGTGATTAGAGGGATATTGGACAGCCATGCCGAGTGAGCCTGGAACTCATACTCAGAGACTTGATAATGAAATCTTGTAATAAGAGAAGCTCCCTGGTGGAAAGAATTGGAGTCATCAAGTGTCTGTCTGGCTCAAGCAGTTGAAAAAACCTGCAGGAAAAAAAAACTGCTGTGCAGAGACTATTCTACCGTTTATAAGTTTGGAATTGCTTGAAATATTGTTGACTGTTCTTTCATTCAATAATAACCTGTAAAGCATTGAAATATCATTAACTAGAATGAACCAGGGTATTGAAAGTTTTTTGGGGGGAAACAACAAAGTCATTAAATGATACGTAATATACTGTTGAGGTATTCGATTTATACTAATTTCATGTCAAGTCATCTGCTTTGAGATTTGATCATCATATTCATGTGATGCATTGTGTATATTAATTATTATAATTTTATCCTTGATGTTATACAGCTGTCAGTCATTATGGAATCATCTACAGCTCTGTGCACCAGTCTGGACCCATAAAGTGTCTTACTGCTTTCTACAAATTAGTTAAATATTATATGAAGAAAATGATTTTGGTGATTTAGGGGCTTAAGCAGCATCATACTTGGGGGCCAACTACCTGCCCCATACATAACTGTGGTGGAACTGAGGCCTAAGGCAACTGCTTATTTCACTTATAGAAAGAACATACACAGTGAAATTGTCTTTATATTGCTCAGTATAATTTATTGTTCTTTTCTCATAGAATATAGTCAGGTTCTCTTTCATATGAGACAACAGCACTTTATTCTTTCTGATTTCTCAGAAATTGGAATAATTGGCCATTCTGTTTCTGTTTCAAGGGTTGTCGAGTTGTCTTCTTACAGTGTGGACCGGAACACCTGTAGCATGTGTGTCAGGTCCTGCACGGTTGTCTGGAGTTCCATTTTTTCCTTGTTCTCTTTCTCTGCAATCGTTTAATTTTTTTAACTCCAGTTCCGTCAACTCTTGTTTTGGCTTTGCTGTTTGAGTCACATTCTTTCAGGCTTGCATCATTTCTTCGGAATGTTCTTCCTTTCTGCTCAGAGGATTGCGACAAATGTCACATCTTCCCACAAAATAATAAGGCTTCGCTCTTTCTCTTCCCTCCAGGTGGTGAAGATGATGATCATTGTGGTCGTGACCTTTGCCATCTGCTGGTTGCCGTACCACGTGTACTTCCTGATCACGGGCCTCAACAAGCAGCTGGTGAAGAAGAAGTCCATCCAGCAGGTCTATCTCTCAGTCATGTGGCTTGCCATGAGCTCCACCATGTACAACCCCATCATCTACTGCTGCCTCAACAGCAGGTAAAGCTCACAAACACTGTTTTCCGCCAATGTGTTCGCGTTCCTTTATGAGCTTTTAGAGAACATCCTGACGTGTAGCTGAAACACAGTGTATTTCAAACCAATCAAACTCTTTTTTTGCTCCTTGAAGCATGAGTATACTTATCCCACTGGGATGAAACACAAAAGATCTATAACCCCAAGGGCTTTCGCCATGGCAACCCAGAGTACTCTACTCCTTCATTCTGGCTAAAAGGTAGTCCTAGTGAAGCCTCTTTGATCACTCGATATGTTCTCCCAAAGGAGTCGTTGCTACTTCAAGGACTTATTCAAGTAGATGCTGAAATAGATCACTTCACACAGTAATGAATGGCCCTGAGATATTTCTTTGCAATATGAAGATTGTTCCCTCATACAAATGTCTTAACAGGTCCAAGCTTAAGTAACTTTATATATGAGTTGTAGTTACTTTCTCAGTTTCAGTGAGCTACAAACCGCCTGGTGATTATAAATGGTTTCCACTGAGCTAGCAGTATACTCTACTATTACAAGTTCTTCTTACTCTTAAATTAGTAATGTTAACTTGAATCAAATATTATTCTTTGTCTATTGTACTGACATAAAACTACTCCTTTGTATTAAATGGACTGTTTTATACAGTAATGCATAAATGGCTTAGATAAGACTAGAATCACCCATTTCTGAGGACTCTAATAGAATATTTACCATTCTGTTAGCATTCTGTGGCTGAACTGGTAAACCTGAACACAAAACACCATCATGGTGAGAATAACAACAACATGTAAAATGCATCCAAACTTCACATTTAACATAAGAGTACTGCTGCTGTCGGAACAAAACCCCATATTTCCAAAAGGATAATTCTACAGGAGAAGGAATTTTAATGTAAGTCAATGGAACCAGACTTTTTTCCAAGTAGTTTTGGGCTGTTTCTTTTGTTCCATTCATCATGAAACTTACACACAATATATAGAGCAGAAGGCATTTTCAAATTATGTCAAAAACTGAAAAACAATAAAAATGGAGAAACAAGGTTTTGTTCCAACAGCGGCGATATGCTATGACACAAAAATAGCAGTTTGCAAAGAGAATTATATTCATAAATTAGAAAAATAAGAGTTTTAACCCCTCAAATGGCCAGTGCCCATTGGTAGGCCTGAGGTTTTATTACACATGTCTATAACCTAAGAATAGCTTGACCAGTTTGCATTGAAGTCCCAGTAGTTACTGAATAATAAGACTTAGAATGTAATAAGCCTGGGAGTTTAAGGGGTTAATTAACAGAAACAACAAAACCACTAAGAATGCTGGGAAGCTTTTTGGGCACAGAACTCTTCAGTCTGTAGGATAAATTAACTGATCTTAACTGATCTTAAGAAATAGTATGTCTAACTAGATTTGTACTAGTAATTTTAACAAAACGTTAAGTGCAATTACAATGTTTTACATTGTGGCTACTCGAAGGTTTGGAATTTTCATGAGTTAGCCTGATGCTAGGATGAACAACATGATCAGTACCATCCTAAAGCAATGGTCATAAACCATCTAGTATCTATCAAGCTGCCCCACCCTCTAATGCATCTGATCCAGCCAATCAGGGAATTGGGAAGAGGTTAATTAGCTGGAGCTAAGTGTGGTTGGAACTAGACTCCATAGGAAAGTAGATGTCCTGCGTCAGGGTTGGAGGCACCTTCCTCATTAAAAAAATGTATTTAATGCAATATGTTGAAAATATGTGAAATTATTTATATGTTTATAAGAAGATCAAGAGAAATTAGGCTACTAAGCTTCTTGGTCTGGCTTGATAATTGTTGTTTACCAACTGTTGCATTGTAAGATTGTAAAACGGAGAAATACCTGTAAAAAGTCAGTAGACTACGTCAAGAAATTGAAATAATACATTAAAGGTAATGAAAAGGGAGTGGTTATGAAACGATGAGTGACAAAATATTGGCAAAGCCTAGACATTCATGCAAACTGTGGTGGCTCTTGCGTGAAATCAATGAAGAAATTATAGCTGCAGGACATTTTCAGGAATAAGATTTATTTTTTTGGCTTGTTCAGGTTGGCAGTGGCGTCTTAACATTATCTTTAATTAGTTCCCTTTGAACAGATTCCATATTTTCTCAGACATTGAGACATTGAGAAGTTTGACAAAAGCAATTTCTTTATAGCTTAGCTTTAAAATGCACCTGGAAGGATGTCAAGAAAATCTAAAAATTTGGCAGAACTGGGCGCTCAACCCCACATTCTTTTGTTTTGGTCCCTCTTCACCAAAGGTTTCGGGCCGGCTTCAAGCGGGCTTTCCGCTGGTGCCCCTTCGTGCGCTTGTCCAGCTATGATGAGCTGGAGCTAAGGGCTACACGCCTGCAGGTGGCCCGGCAAAGCAGCATGTACACGTTGTCCCGCATGGAAACCACTGTAGTAGCCGTGTGTGACTCCAGCGAGCCATCTACCAACCCGGCCCGAAAAAGCCTAATCAACCACCACCATAATGGCTGCTCTCATTCCACCAAAAGCAGAGCGGCCACCTACACACCCAGCGACCCTCAGGAGGAGTTCTGCTGAAGACTTTTTCCACACCGCAGAACATCTGTAGAGAAGGAAGCCCAGCAATGCTGCAGTTTTGGGGTGGACGCTGAAGGGACAATTTGCCTCCTTTTCCATTTCATTGCGCATCTCATATGAAGATTAAGAGAGATGGGGCTTATCTGTTGCAATGGATTTGGGCGAAAAAAGCTACAAAAGCACTATAAAGCACTATAATATGCTTTATTTAGCAAGTTTTCATCATATCATGAGTGGAACATGTTTGAACTGTGAAGAACTGTGGGAAAAAATCTAATGTTGCCATAACTGTTGAGTCATGTGCTTGCCAGGAGGCACCTGGTTAGCATTTTGTTAATGTTATCCACAACTGTCCCTGTGAAAATGGACCAGTTTGGCTTTTAAGCTGGTTATATAACTGGAAATAGAAGAAGAAGAGGAGAAAAGAGAAGAAACTACACTGAAACACTGTAAAGTTACACGTTGGTCTAAGATTCATTTTATGCTTGGGTGTGATTCTTGATTTGGAAACAACTTCTACTGAGAGAAAAAGTGTCTATAATGATTTAAAATAACAAGCTAGCATAGCAGCAAGCATCTTGTACTGCAGGTAGAACCCATTCTGCAATTGATTGAGCTGGTGGAGATTTTTGCAGGAGGGATATAATTCCCTTCAGCAAATAGACATACACAATAAACACATCCCCACCAACACCGATATCTGCATAATGGATTTCCAAGCATCCAAAACAAAAGGACTTCCACTTGATGCTAGCTTCTCTAGAGATAACTGCATAGTAATTGCTTCACAAGGACTTCAGAATGCATTAAACATAATCATTTAATCTAGCCCCTGGGTCTGCGTACATGTGAAAAGTATGGGTTCACGTGAGGTCGGAAAAGCTTTAAACTGATCTGTTGCCACTGTTGCCATGTGACATTTGGCTCTAGGTGTATACCTTCAGAAGTGAACTTCAACTGGCAGCAGACGAAGAGGAAAGATCGCTCCAGGGAACTTTTTTTTTTTTCTGTACGCTTGTGTGAGATCGCCCTATTTAGCCATAGCTCACAGGAGGCAGCTGGACTATTTGAAGTGTCAAGTTCAAATGTGAAGTGTTTAAAAGGAGTTTCTCCTAAACAGCAGCTCAACCCTTAGACATCTAGAGGTATTACTGTTGTATTGTTTGGCTCTACAATTCAAATTAAAAAGGAATTTAATTGATTTGTCCAAATTTCTACATAATTAAGTCATTAATGTGTAAACAAAGTCATTTGGAGTGGTTTGATGTGAAATGTGCCTTTTAGAGAAACTTGCCAAGTCAGAATTGTTTACAGTGCTTGTGATAGGAACCAGACATCTGAAGCCTTTAATGCCTCTAAAATCTACCCCATATGGAAGCTGTTACATAAAAGTGGTTACAAATATTTGCATTGCATTATAGTTTAGAGATAAAACTACTTTGTAAAATCCATTCATAGTGGAGAGGTACATGCAGAGCATTGTAAGGCAAAATAGTCTCCATAGAAAACTTTTTTTTTTCAGATTTACCACTCTTTTAGCATTAGATAGATAGATAGATAGATAGATACATAGATACATAGATAGATAGATACTTTAAAGATCCCAAAGGAAATTTAGCAGCCAGTAGCAGTCACACAACACAGGACAGTAATAGTAATAAGAGTGTAAACAATATAACAGGAAGAATAAATATAAAAATCCTATCTACAGGCATATAATACAAAGAGAAAAATACAACAATCTGGAATAATATCTATAACCTGAGATGTAAGTGGCAGTGCAATAATGACTGTACAAGGAGGCACAGGTAATATATTAGCAGCATTAATTATAGAAACTCAGAAATGTGTAGGTTCACTGCTTGGTTTGGATAGTAAATAAAACAGCTAGACATTGTGACTCCTGGTTCCTGTCACCGCCACTGTAAAGAAATTTGCGACTGCAATTTTCTCAACAATAAAACACTTCATACCAAACCGCACTGCGGGACTTTGTTTACATCTCAGCGATTGAATTAAATAAAAAATTCGAAAAATCAGTGGAATTCCACTTTAACACATTGTTAATGAAATAGGTGCGTAATGAATTATATTTACGTTCAGTTTGTGGGTGAAAAAATGAATATGGCATTTGGTCATATTCAAATCATAATAAAATATCTTAGTGCTTAGTACAGTTGAACATGCTTTTGCTATCACCAGCAATAAGTGCAACTTCTGAAATAATGAAATGATGGAAATTATGGCTATTTACTTGCTTCATTTTGCTCGAATAAATGTTGCACATTACAGAGCGTCCAAAGGCCTAAGGCTAAGCTTGTTTTGCAGTAGTGTGGGCTGTGAATAAAAGTGTGTCCCTGCTGGCATGCCCACACACACAAGCATGCACCACCACAAAAAAGCATCTTACAGTCCCCAGCACTTGCATGCTGAAAGACCACATTTCTTCACCTCTTTATAAGGCCCGTGCGGATGCGATTACTCATCGAGCGGAACAGCCAGTGGTAATGAATGCAAGTGAAGGGGTGTCCATTCTTAAAGCCCTAGGTATTGATTAGTAAAGCCTGAGGAGGTGGATGAGGCCTTGGAACCGGACTCCAGTCTGAAGCAAACATGACCAGTGCTTTCATCCTACTGCAAGGCAAATTCAAGTGTAATGGATTTTTTCCAGGTGAGAGATGTCCACCTGTGGTCACTGGAGATAACACACACATACGCACACACATGCATACACACACACTCATGCACACATTCACACATACAGTGCTGTGCAAAAAACAGACCACCCTTCATTTATCTAATGTTCACTCAAAACAGCCATTAAGCGCAAGTTGTTTATTTTTCAACATATATTTAAAAGATGATTACACTGAAGCCTCAACAGCTAAATATTACATTTTCACAGTGTTTACAGTGTCCACTCTGTGCTTTATTGCAGCTTCCATTCTTTTCAGGAGACTTGCTTTCAGCTCTTCAGAGAAACCTGCAGGGATATTTTTCCATACCTCTGAAGTTCACTCTGCATTCTGTGATGTTGAGGTCTGGACTCTGGGGTGGTCAGTTCATTGTTCTGAGAACACCAGCAGCTTCTTTGTTTGATCAATCATGCATTTTTTGTCTACCTCCTTTTCTCAGTAAGGGCTTCTCGACAGCTACACATCCTTTCACACTCGTAGTGCTGAGTTGTCTTCTCACAGTGGAAGGATGGACAGGAACACCTGTGCAGTCTTTCAGATCTGAAGTAAAAGTGGAGCTTGATTTTCTCTTCTGTCTCAAAGAAGAAAGTGCTGTATATCTGATGGGGACAGTGTTGATGCTCTACCAGGTCTTTCAGGTGGTTGTTAGGAGTCACATTTTCTCTGTAGCTTTTAATTAGTTTTTTTAACTTATTTTTCTTTGACTTTCTCCTTCCTTGTGCAAGTGGATTATGTATCTGCTGAAAAATGAATTGTACACTCTTCAGAAATATCACATGGAACCATTACCACTCACAGAACCCTTTGTATGCTTAATGGGTTCCTTGTGAAAAGGTTTTTCAGATTGATAGATAATGTGTTGAATATGGTTCTATACAGCACCAAAATAGGGTTCTTCTACTGTTAAGATGTAGGCTTGTAACAACGGCAAAACCCTATTGGGTGCTATGTAGAACCCTTTTCAAAAAGGTGCAATATAGAACCATCTACTGCACATTCTCCATCAGTCTAAAGAACCTTTTTTATGATGCAAAGGACCATTTAATCATGCAGAGGGTTCTCTGAGTGTTCATGATTCTATATAGAAGCATTTTCTTTACTGAAGAACCCTCAAAGAACCATCTTTTTTTAAGTATGTGCTTAATGGCCGTTTTGACTGGACATGAAATGCATGAAGGGTGGTCTCTTAATTTACATTACTAAATATGTTTGGGGTTACTTGGATTGTGAGACTAAATACAACCAAATTCTAAGACTGAACTTTGGAGGTGTGGAAAAATATCCCAGCAGATTTCTTTGAAAAGCTAATAGCAAGTCTTCTGAAAAGAAAGGAAGCTGTAATGAAGGTAAAGACTGGACACGCTAAATGCTGAAAATTTTGTATTAGTTGTATATTTAGTTGTTGAGGTTTCTGTGTAATCATCTGTTCATTTCCTGACACTGAAAAATGAATGATTTGTACTTAACAGCAGTTTCAAGTGGACAGGTAATAAATGAAGGGTCTCTGTCTTTTGCAGAGTACTCTACCCATACTTATACACATGTGCACACATACACTACTGCATGTCGTTGCTGTCCAATCTACATTTTTGTCGATTTTTATATTTCTACATCTTTTGAACACAATGGACCAATAGGAATGCTCCAAAATCACTAAGAAAAAAAACTTATTTATACACTATAGTCAGGAATGTTTTTCCTTTTCACATAACATTACTATTTTGGAGATGCATGTTTTTCTTTGGTCAGCGTCGCTATGTACATATGTGCATACCATATACATGTACACACTTATACAAACAAAACTGACGAATGTCAGCTGAATGCATATCTCTTAAGATAATACATGTATTTTTGCATTGAAAAGATGCTTAAATGTACAGTATGTGTTCACAGAATCAGTCTATACAGTCCATGCAACAATGTAAATAGAACTTTTTGTTATTTCTAACATGTACACAGACTCATTTCAGTGCCACTGATATGATTAAAGCTAACAAGATGGACTATTTTGCATCCAATTTGGCATTTCAAGTCTTTAAACACTTCACAGTCTTTACTTTCCATGTATTCTTTTGCAGACGACCAATTAACTGCTTAAATTGGTATTATTTCTACTCATTGAATGTCTTTCTACTGGAGTTTACTGTAATACACTTTGTCTTTTCCCCCATTCTCCTTGGTTACCATGTTCTCCGAAGGCATGCTGCTTGAAAATTCCTGCTACGTACTGCTTTTCATTCCTCTAAAAGCGTTTGAATGTAATCCAAAAGAAAGGTAATGGTATTTTTCTCAAGAGCAGTG